TTCCACAGATCTACGTGCCCCAGTGTCTAGTTTCAGAAACTGAAAACCGCAAGTCTGTAGCATTCACCGTTAAAAAGTTATAAGCGAAATATCGGAGTCCATTATATTTTGATACAGATAGTAATTGTCTGCATGGTTAAGAAAAAGAAAATGCCTTACTGGCATAAATAAATTCTCCTTACTTGTCTGTTTTTGCCTTTCTTTCTTAGATTAGTCCTTTCAAATTACGTAATCTTATATTAAGCAAGAATTGTCTCAGCAGTGGAAAAGTGAAAAGAAGGAACAAATAAGATAGGATATAAATGTATTATGTTAAAGATACTTGCCAGACTATAGTTTTTATTATCGAGTGTATATGTTATAACAACAAAAAGGGAAAAACATCCCTATGTTAAAAAGTTTTTTTGTTCAATTTGATTTGTTTATGTAATTTTAATTACTTTAATTAATGTTTGTATCCACTGAGGAAGATTGAACTATCAATCAAAACGTTTGAAATAAATGAAGTTAGTACGAAGAAAAAGTATTTATTTAGAATTTAAAAAATCTCATCTAACTTCGTATTCATATTGACTTTTTAAAGATCATCAGATAAAACGATATCCGAAATTAACAGACATGGGAAATCCCAAATGGTTTGTGAGAAAGAGAAATTTTGTTACCAACAGAAACACTTTTTCATCCCTCTTTTTTTTCAAGTATAATACTCAAATTTTCTAAGTTTTGCGGTAAGCTTTTTGTTTGTTTTGACGAAAAGAGTGATTTACAAAGAGAGGGTTCTAATGAAGGGGAAAAAACAACACTACATTACACTTTTTCCATTACGGTAGTGGCCTTGTGGTGGTCACGGGTGGTGCAGTAGATGTGTAGTGCGGTGTGGTGAACAATCCCATGCAGTGTAATGAACTGTTGTTTTTTCCTCCTTAGTTCTAATACATTTTTTTCCAATCAACTAAGGAGAAAAGCTTTGATTCGGTGGAACGATGGGGTAAAGAAATTTTTTCCACAGGATCACATTAGGTGCTTTGCCCGTCCTAGCTTTTAGGGAAACGTTTTCTGCATAGGTCTCGAGCAGTGCCAAAAAACTTCATTCCACCCAAGTCTGATGCGTATTCATACCAATCGATTTATTACATATTAGTTCATCTCGACTTGTCGCCAAATTTTGCATCGAATAAATAATCATTAGCACAGTTTCTGTTTCTTGATTTTCTATAATTTCTATGTTGCTATCGACAATTTCGAATACCGTTGAATTATATCGATTTTGATTGATATTTATTGAATCGGATTGTATTTCATAATTCACGTCGGTTACGTGGTTATTTGTAATGACAACATAAGCACGACAAATATCATCAAGTGTTTTTACAAGTCTAATATCTAAATGACTTTGAAGTATGAGAACGAGAAAGACGTAAAGAAGATCACTATTTACCCAGACTTATTGAATGGTTATAGGCAAAGAAATGAGAATAACAACTTGATGGGTAATAAACGTCTGTCTGACACAAAATGTTTGGAACAAAAAAGACTAGAAAACAACAAGAAAAGGAAAATATGGCCATTAGTGGAATCTAAACAAAAGAATGAATACAGCAAAGTTGTTGAAAGAATTATAGCAATCAAATACGCTTCTGTTCGAGACAATTTTCAAAAACTGATTTAAATTGAAGTGGATAATCTATTTTTCCAACGTTATGTATTATACTTTTAAACTCTACTGCACTAGCAGTTTTTGACTCTTACTTTTATTAATCTCTTTATTGTTAGTGCAAGATGAAAAAGATTTCTATTTAACATTAGTAGCTTAGTATCAAAATTGGGAGGAAAAGGTAGTTTTTTCGCTAGTTTTTTTCTTTTTAAACTTTAACTCTTATCTCTCCAGTCCAATGGCCACTGAAATCGGTTAAAATTTCGCTAGTTATTTAGTTTCATTCATTTCTGAGGTTACCATAACTCACCCGGAAACGATCGTGAAATTTCTGGGAAATCCTATGACACGCCTAAACGATGAAAAATAAAGCGGTTGAAGAATTTCTACTTTGAAGAGAACACACTATACTATACATACTATACCTTTTTACAGGTAATAAGTAGCAGACGCTTATTACTATTACCGGGTAAAGTCATAATTAGTAAAAGTAAAATAACACCCCTAAACGAAAGCGAACGTTTGATTTAATTATTGTTTTTATATGTAAGTTATATCATTGACGTTCTGAGTGTCCGTTTTTGATTTGTTTATAACACATCTGCTGGGTGCACTCGCGTTTACCATCTCGTCTGTTGTAGAACACATCGTGTATAGTATAGTAACACATGTGGTTACTATTGAGTTAGATTTAGGGGGGGAATGAAACAAAATACAAATCCCAAACCCCCGTGTGTAGAGTAATGTATGATTATGAAATAATTTGGCAAAGCTATTCCATTACATAGGAATACGGAAAAAATCTTCAAGTAATCTCAGCACAATCAAACCGGTAAAGAGGTAAAAGTTTCTTAGAGATCACGTGTACTTCCTCCTCTCTCATTGTAGATATTATGAAAAAAACTATATGAAAAAACACTAACACGGACAATAATAAATGATCATGTTTCTCTTGAACCAGACACGAATGAATTGTAAAACTAGGATAGAATCGAGTTTCTGGTTGTTCTTTAGTAAATGTGTTTTTATTGATTTGCATGAATCCGATGATGATAATATCGACTTCGTACCAACAAACTGGTTCCGGACCGTGAACAAATCGATTTAAAATGGCTTTTTTTTGTATTCGATGACACTTTGACCAAACAACTGAAAGAAATTGGTATTCACGTTTCATCTGAACCACCGCATTGGTCTAAATAGATAGAAAATATCACTCCTTACGGATTATCGACGATCCCGTAAGGTAAATATAACACGAATTATGTCGATATGTACGCCATGTTATAAAATCACGACTAGGGGGTGGACTGCTACCCGTTACCGTTACTGTACCGGTAATGAACTTTTGTGTTAAGAGTAATGATTTAAGCGTTACCGATAACGAGTAACAGCCGTTACTTGTAACGGGTAACGGTTTGACTGCATTTGACTATCAAACACAGCAGACAATTTTGAGTGATAATTTTTTTCCGATATCTCAAGTCCAGTTTTTCGTCATTCAGTTTTTGAATAAAATGAGCATATCGGTGAAGGTAAGATAGAGTGTGTCATTTTGACAGAAACTCTTCTGATATATTTTCATTTCTCGTTCTGTAGAGAATTTCTGAATTTTGTGTTTATCTATAGACAAAACTAAAGTGCAGAGCCAACAGTTGAATACAAAATAAATTGAACCTTTTGTTCAGTTATGCGCATGATTTTTGTTTCTCTTTTTCTCTCTGTCTAGTCAGTCTGAAATCAAACGAAATTTCAATTTTTCCAACAGGAATAATTTAATATTAACTTTAACATTTTTGTTTAGAAAAAACTAAAATTAATTTCGCCTAGGATAGCTTTAAATTGCCCTAAATTTTAATTTCTCCTGCGGCATACACATTAATTTGATCATCCTGGAATTAGTTTGAATTAACTTTGTTGAGAGAAATTTAAACAACATTCATTTTTATTTGCAAATTGCTTTTGAACACATTTGGTACAACTAATTTCAAATCTAAAATTAAATTGAACAAATCTTAGTACCCAAAATTGACGTAATTAAGAACAAAATAATTAATCTCAATAGACGACTTGCAAGACTTTACCGGGCAACCACCCTACATCGAATTTCGGGGGCGTCTGGATGCTAGGCGTTTTTCTACATGGTACATCTACTGGGATACGTAGCTTTCTTATCGGACAGATGGTTACTCAGATTTGGATATCCGCCCCCTCATTTTTGATACTCTCGCTCGTTATTTCTCTTATAACTCGGTGTTTAGTTAGGGTTTAAATTATTTGTGTAAACTCATAATAATATTCTCTAGCTATTCCTAGAAAATGGTAACGGGTGGCGCAGAATAAATGAAAGTCTCAGTGTTTTCTATTTTTCTCGTGTTTCTTTAGGACCCAACCGTCACTGTTTGTTTTAAAAGAAGCGGCGCAAAATACTCTACAAAACCATAAATAAACTTTAATTTCGGACCTTCAATTAAGAAAACTATGCAAATTATACGAAAGATCAAAAAAGTGAAACGTTTCTAAAGTAAAAAACGACTTTTTGTGTTAACGTTACGAAAGTAAGAAAACTTGAATCAGCCATTATGTAGTCCTCACTTGGCTCTGTCTTTGAAAGCTGGGTCTTTTGGTACCTAAGTGATTATTTTTGTGACTGTACGTGACAGATAACTCCACTTTAACTCCGTTTATTCTAAGCCAAGCATATTATTAAAAGCTATAGAAAACTCCGCATCTTTTAAGTCTAGAATAGAGTTTTAAAAGTTATTTAATTAGATTGAAAAAAGTTTTTTTTAGTCTGAGCACGATAGATGTCGCCAGTCAACGGTTTTTTGTTTTTCCTTCACCGTTTTTCTTTTCCTGTTTCATTCCTCACTATATAAGCAGCAACAAATGTTAGCGCGAATGTGTGCACGGTCCGAAACATCTTGCGGGCGGTGATTTAGCGGTAGAACTTGTCTTGCGATCTGAGTAAATAAGATTGTTTGAGACGTACGTCATCGTTCGGTTAATACTACAGCAATGATGTACCATACGACCGTTCACGCACTTTTTTTCTCACTAATATGATCTGAACATCATTCTTTTCCGAAGTTTTCTAACACATATAGCGCATTTTCAGAGGATAAATTCCCACAGGCACTGCTCCTAACGTTGCATTTACCCTCGTGAATGTACTTGAGATCAAGTACTTAGAAACGTACTTCCCTAAGTAATGTCTAGAGTTCTTGGAGTGTTTTGCAAGTAAAAAAAGATACTTATCAAGTAATTTAACAAGTATAAGTAGATAAGGATTTCACCAAGTATTTGGAAGTAACTTGGTTAGTACTTGCGAAATACATGCGAGTGTCCAAAGTTCTTCCAAGTAGTTGGTACATATTAAGTCTAAAAATGCTTGACAAGTGCTTAACCAAGTACTTTACAAAATTTGCAAGTAGCTGAGTACTTGATCCCAAGTACAATCACTAGGGATAATCTTTAACCTTGAACTAGAACGAAATCAATCGAGAATATGAATTCCCATTATATTATTCTGAAACTTAAACTATCAAAACACAAAATCAATCCTTGCACGAAGTTAGAATCGAACACATGAACTTGATCGTTCGATTTAGGGATGTCTCTTTACCAGATTAATTAACATAAAAACGAGATTTCATCAGAGTATCTTTAATAAACGAAAAGAAACTCATAACTAATTATGACGAGCGAATCTTTATTATGTCCTGTTGTATGTACCGGGACAGCAATCAAATAAACACTATTAATTACAAAATACAACTGACTCTACAAAAAAATTTGAGCACTAATATCTCATATGATAGAGAATATCACAGTTTTGCATTCCAAATTTTTATGAGAAAACAGAAACGAACAGGACATTTTTTTAATAACAGGCCTATGATAAAAAATTTAACAGCATTTTTTGCAGTAATTAATTTTTTTCACAGCCATATAATGTTAGTAATCTGACAAATTTCAGAACATATAATTCGAAGTGTCGTCTACAGACTGGTAGAATTCGACAAAAAAAGTCAAAAAGTCAATATTTCGCTAATTTCTGGGTGAGACAAACAATTTCCACAGCACCTTACCTGTAGCTTCTCGAAAAGGAAACATTAATCGAACAAAATGTTATTAATGCCGAACAAAATACGAGTACAAAAAACTAGATAGATTTGCAAAGTTGCATACTAGCATACCCTAGTAGAGGCGTTCGTCAGAGCAGTACTGGACAGACCTTTAACTTCAAAATCAATCAAAGACCACTCTCATGCTCAGTTCTTGATGGCGAATTTAAAAAAAAGCCTTTGAAAAAGTTTCCGCAACAAAATGGATAAAAATTTGAATTTTTCTCAAATGAGCGTTTTCTTTTAATTTTTTACACCCTTCGAGTTTTTCCAATTTTTCTCGCTTAAAATATTGTCCAGAAAATTAAAAAGCATATATTCGTGATCAGCACATCAAACTCTATCAAACGATGAATAAATATAAATAAAATCAAATCTGCTCCGTCTTTGCATTGTTGGCACCTTACATACATATAGTGAGCAGTGAGTGTGACGGACGTGCATACATATAGTCATGTGGCAGTGTGACAGACGTACACACATATAGTGACTAGTGAGTGTGACGGACGTACATACGCAGAATCACTAATGAGTATCACGGACATAGATCCACATGGGTAGATGCGTTCGGGTTTTACGGTGGAATCAGAGAAGTGTTTTGACACTTATCCTGGCTGCGAGTGCGGACCGAAGGGACGCGTGAGCATTTTCTGGAATTTAGAAATCTTTTTAGACCTCTGGAGTACTTTAGGGTGTCTTGAGAAAACTTTTAAAGACTTAAACTACATTATGAGGTTTACACATCAAATCAGAGAAATATTCATAACGCATTGTAGATAGTCCCTAGCGAACACCTACCGAATGGAGGTGTGAGTATTGTTTTCTAATCAAAGTCACGAAGGGTGGTTCACAGATATAAGTTCCGAAAGTCAAGAGAAGTGAGTGCGGACGAGCGTTACGTTGTTTTCTCTCTCATGCTTAAAAAAATTTCTACTTTTCTTCCTTATGCTTGGCTTATCCATGATATATCTGGCAGCCGCTTTTCTACGAACGAGGCGAAACGCTGCCCTCACTTAGGTTCCGTTATCAGGGGTAAGAAGACTCAGAAATTTGATAATATTACGTCCATTTCGAAGTCTGTATTACAGACAAAACCAAATCAAAGTACAGAGACTCCATGAACTGTATAAATTGAGTAAATAACGCTATACGCTGTCAAACTTTTGAGCGTCACATAACTTGTGAACTCATGCCGACTTGATAGGCCTGACTTCTATTCCATATTCGAAGCACGCACTCACTCTGTTAAACTTTTCTGACAGGTGAAAAGCTATAGTAACTACTTCTGTATCAATTCTGTAGTAAGAAGATCGAGTTACAACAGAGTGAATAATAGCCTCCATTCGCTCTTTGACTCAAACCTAATAAGAATCTTATAAAAATCGTATCTACGTTTATAGAAAAATGCCTTGCGATGATCTCATCAAAAAAACCAATGAAATTCTTACAAAGATCTTACAAGTTCCTTACATTACACTCTATATACTCTATATTTCTTCTACCGCAGTTAGTGACTTGCGGTTTTCACCACTGGAGTTTTATCTGATTCTGTGCTGCTCGCCGTAAAATGTGGTACGCTTCCGAAAGTATCCCCCCTCTATCTGTTTGGCGTATTTTCGATCTAGTAGAATAACACAGTGTATTACAAATTCTTTAAAATTTTTTTGTACTTTGGATTCGCAATGGTGAATATTTCGAGCAATTATAGTATCTTTCTGGGAGAAACATGCAAAACTGTGCCATAACATTTACTAACCAGTGTCACTACAACCAATTACAATCTACTCAAAAGAAAATGTTCATGACCAATCTTTGAAAACCTTTTGAACGAAAATAGCTAACAGTAGCAATTAAACGCATCCTTTTTCACTAACAAGGGCAAGTTTCTAATTTAGCTGTATTTTTGTGAATGTGAAACATAGTAATTTGTTGCTGAATAAAGCGAACGAGTTACAAAATTAATCAAGATAGTTTTACTACATAACACTGGTGCACTAGCCATATTATTGTCAATTCAACATCACAAGAATCCGATTGGTACAGGTATTATCAGTATAGTTCGCAATCCTGGTGAACACAAAGAATACGACCGAACAGCCAGCGCAAGCGAGTTAGGATAATTATGAACAAAAATTACAAAAGAAAAGACAATAGCGGGAACAATTAAAAACGGCAACAAATTTATCAAGTCAAATATTGCTAAAAGGAGCGCAATGTCCAGAATCAGTCACAGATACAGATGAACAACATTCAATTATATGGTTACAAGATATCGAACAAATGTTTGAAGCTGCTAGTGTAAGATCGGAGGATCGTCGAAAATTATTACCAATGTATTTTCTGGGCGATGCTAAGAAATGGTATCAAAGTGGTATATTTGATAATAACTATGATGGATTCAAACAACAACTGATTAAAACTGACAATTGTCAAAAACGTCATGATGTTCAATCCAGAAATGTGTGTTGATTTGTTAGAACAAGCAAAACGAGCGGAAGCTGCAATATCTTCCACTCAATCAACATCTACTACTGCAATCACAACAACGACCGTGGAAACTGAAGAAACAACGGCATCATTAAGAAAAACTCCAGTCCCAAGTTATTCTGATTATTATTGTCCTCAATAGTCAATACCCGGCACACAAAGTTCTTACTCTCAACATTCTTCTTCAAGTGCTAATCCTAACTGGTTTCAACAACAACAGCTCCCCCTGTTCAACAACAATAATTATCAAACTTATTCACGACAACCTCGTACCGATTTTACATCATCATCATTCTCATTTAACTGCTATAATTGTGGTGATCGAGGGCATTATGCACATCAATGTCCAAGTTATTTAAACAAGTAATGGTGTCGCATGGTAACGCCACCGAATAACATCGGAAAACATCAAAATTAATTTATACCAACGTGCTCATAAATAATGTGAAAACAAGAACCATGAACACAGGTTCAACAATATCAGCTGTTAATTCACCATACATCAACAAAATACAAGCTCACAACACGATATTCTACCGGTGATAACTACATGCAGAATTGCAAACAACGGCAATTTGCATATTAAAGGTATGGTGGTATTACACGTACTAATTAATAAAATTAAAACAACAATTAATGCATGTACCATTGAAGATTTATGTAAGCATGCATCCTACGGATGTATCACTAGATGGTGGTTTTTGCGAGAAATATAATTCTGATATTAGTTACTGTTTTAAAAATTTAACAGTCAGTCCATCACAACTACAAGCATAGGCTAAGAAAACCGTTTTGTTTCTAATTCCAACTGCGACTGTTATAGTCAGTTTAATAAACAGTCATTATCAATTATCCCTGTGTTAAATGAGAAATATTAAGAGAGCCTCCATCTGTCCCAAATCAAGCTAGTATTTCGCCATTTTCTCCATCAAAATTTAACTTTTTGACAAAACCAATCCTGAGTGCACTTTCTTGCCTGATTCGCGACGCGAGCGCGAATCGCGCTAAATCTGTACAACTCACTCCGCGATCGCTAAGAAGTCGCTATTCTTGCGGCACGTTCATGAACAACTCTTGTTTTACAAAAAATTCGTAATTCGCGATCGCGACGCGATACTAGCGACTTTTTAGCGATCGCTGTAAGAAAAAATTGTCACGTCGCGACCGGACATGATAGAGCGTCGTGGTGCGTCTCCCGTACAAATCCTGTTTCTGGTAGGATCCAGAACTGAATGCTTAATACAACGTCAAATTATTTTCAAGCTTTTTACGAAATACAATACTGCTAGATTTGTTGTAGGAATCTGACAAAATCCTACATATTCCTACCTAGGAAATCATTGGATTCAGCAAGATTCTTATCATAAGTTCGGGTAGGATTCTGATGTTAGGATCCTAATAGGAAATATCATATGATTCTACGATAGGAATCCTATCACCGCCCCCCCCCCTCATCCTCTCCCAGAATCACGTAGGAATCGGCAGGATCCTATCAGAGGAATCCTACCTTATACTATGTATTACAGGATCCTATAGGATCTTGTAGCATCTAATAAGATTTTTGACCTGGGTAATTTAGTTTTTACAGATGCAGCACTTTTTCTACCAGACTTAACTTACAACAAATGTTTCTAATATGCCAGAACACACATCTGCTTTGAAAAATGAAAATTAATTATTGCTCTGCTGTCCGTTGATACTTTAATCTCTTCATGAATAAAAATTGAAATTAGTGAATATAACAGAAGAGACAGGTAGCCTTGCAGTGATAAAGGTTGATTCAGTATTACGCACACATAATGCTTCTTGTATCGGTAACCATTTTTATTTTAGCTGCCGCGGTCAATGAAATTGCAGGTATTATGTAAATTGCTGCAGCTGAATGATGCTTTATATGCGTTGGTCCTCTTAGGCGATTCTTGTGAGAATTACTTTCACCCTCAACACGGTAAAACAGGTCGTTGTTTGAAAACATCACAGTGTTCCGATGATGGTGGCGTAATTGTATCGAAACTGTGTGAGAGTAAACCAAACGATATTAAATGTTGTTTCACACCCAGTACCATGCTTTCATCCGGTATACAATGATCGTGAAAAACAACACAATATATTCTCCAGTAATGTTTTTTTCTGCCCTCCTAGGTGATTCTTGTGAGAGTTACTTTCACCCTCAACACGGTAAAACAGGTCGTTGTTTGAAAACATCACGGTGTTCCGATGACGGTGGCGTAATTGTATCGAAACTGTGTGAGAGTAAACCAAACGATATTAAATGTTGTTTCACACCCGCTACCACGCTTTCATCGGGTATATAATGATCGTGAAAAAACAACACAAGATATTCTCCAGTAATGGGTTTTTCTATAGGTTGTCCATCAATTGTCCCTCGAGCCACATGGAAAGCACGAGCACCAAAGAATATAACACCGCTCATTACACCAGTTTCATATGTTGTCATTCATCATACATACAGCGCGTCGTGCACAGATGAAAAAATGTGCCTGTCAAAAATGAAAGGGATTCAAGATTTTCATATGGATGGAAAAGGTATAATCTCTATACCGACATCACGTATAAAGTGAATATTTTGAAGTGTTATTTAGGTTGGGATGATATTGGATATAATTTTGTGGTTGGTGCAGATGGAAACGCCTACGAAGGACGTGGATGGGAACGGGTCGGCGCTCATTGTAAAGGCTACAATTCGAGATCAATAGGTGACTATCATTTGTATAAAAAAACTTGTAAGGCATTTTGCATTTTAAACGAAAAATAATTCATACTTTCTGCTACGACGGCGGCGGTCATGTTTAACGAAAGTCCCAAAAGAATTTAAAAAAGAATTTTTGAGTTAACAAATTTGTCTGTCTCTTCGATCTCTTCGTTTATCATTTTAACATGCTTCAATAATGCGCCGCTTTCTGAAAAGAACTTATTTCTGATTGAAAAAAAGTTTGCGACGAAAACTTAGTTTATCGGTTATCAATTCTCACTAGTTTTTTCAAAATTTATTGTTTTCATCATATTTTTATGCCAAATTCATCATACAAAACAGTGTTATGACAAAACTGCCGGTTTCGAGAGTTAGAACTGAGTTGAGATGTTTTTTAGCTGAAGCTGCCAGTTCAGAAACGCAGTCGGAATTGCTTACCCATGCCTTCCTAAAACTAGAGAAGTTCTCCCTTTAGGAAAATTCATAAAGACAAATGACTCGTACGTAGAAAGAATAGTCTCACACCCCAGTATCCACGTTTATCTGTAAAGAAAAACGTCTTTTTTCAAAAAAAATTCGAATACTCGTTACAAAAGTTTTTGAAGGTTATTTTACAAAGAGGTCCTGAAATTCAACGGTTTTTCAAATTATGAAATTTCTTAGTAAAGTACTTTCATGAATCCGTAGCTTGTCATGCAGACTGTCTCCGAAGTCAACAGCTATGCAGGATTTACTAGGCGCACTTGATGTGACACTAATTAGTCGTCGATGCCATCCATACTTAGTGGATTTTCTTCTCTCACTCAAGGGTATCTCGACGGGGCTTCACCATAGCGCGATAATTCTCTTAATAGTTAACGGCCTGGCCAGCTAACTCTACCTGCGTATGTAATTCCGTGACGTTTTTCTATGATTTTGTTTTATTTGCAGAAATTTTTGAAAAAGTCAGAACTCAAAAGTAAATAAACCATTTTGTAGACAATTTAATTCTCTATCGACTGACCTGATTTTGAAA